ACTGGACTTACCGGATTACACTCCGTGATTTGCTTCCAAATAAGATCGTGGGTTTTGCTAGTTGCCTACATACGTACAGGATGTGCCTCGAGAGGTTTTGTGAAAAATGAGGAATCTTCATTATGAGCATTAATGTTCAATTTAGCTTGCAAAAATCTTTCAATAAAAAAACACGATATTACAAACAGAATTACACACATTTAAAAATTTTATAAAAAATTGTTATCAAAAATGTCTTGTTACAGTTACAATAATAAGTTAAATAATAGGTATAATTGTAAAGAGAATAACACATTTTATAAATAAAAGAAATATGTATAATCATAATTATATAATGTTTTATTAATATAAAGTTATATCTGTATTTTATACGAATTCAAATGCTATTTTATGCAAAACGGAATAAAAAAATTCTTAGAAAGTGCCGAGATTATTATTAAATCGAAGATATGGATCCGAGAGACCTTCTTGTGTCGATCGTGAAGATATTCTTAATCCTTTTACCTCGGAATTGACGCACGACAAATTCACACGTATCGCCCAGTCGATTTGACATGCGTCACGAATTAATCAACATCATTTGCCAGACGATCGCACGACGAGATCTCAGGGTAGGCCAGACTATCCTACTGGATGTATGTCGTAGTACGATCTCAGCCTGTCACACGTTCCGGACCGCGCTTGTCGCACGTGAGTCGATCGACGATTGCGCGCAGCACGTGTAATTCGACATCGGCTAATCTTCATTCAGCCTACGCGATGGCACCAAATGAGATTCCGTCGGCAAAACCCGTTGACGTAGACATTCACAAAAGCGGGAGTCGCGTTACACGCGAAATCCTGGGAACTCTGGAATTTCTCGGCATTTAATTCCGCGACGAATAGGACTCCGCGCCGGCTTCGTATACGAGATATGAATTTATTATTCGGACAGGAAATATAAATAAATATTTTTGAAAAGTCACTCTTACATTCAAAACAATCTCGATTCTGAACCACGTGTTACAGCAAAGAAGAAAATTGTATATTATAAGAAATACAAATATTTATTAAAATTGACTTGTCGGTGTGATTTATCGAAATTAAATGCCTGAATGAGTCTCCAATTAAAAATCCAAATTAGATTGAATTATCAGCGTGAGAAAGAAACTATATTTTCTCTAAATTATTTATAAATATCTATATAAAAAAAGACACATGTTTTTCCATAAAATATTTTCTGCATCAAATATAGCTGATTCGTTAGATATCAATTCAATTTTTAAAGCTGTCAGACAAAAAATTTTCAATTTATATACCTATCATGTTAAAATGATTCAGCAGATATGTAATTTATATGCGCGTTGAAAATTGAATATTCCAATAAAATTAATGGGGTTAAAGTATACTATTTGTTGTCAAGTTAAGTAGTTTATCGATTATCGCGCCCTGTTGTATACCGCTATATTGCGAACGTTTTGTACGTCGTGACTCCGCGCTATTTTATGAATCAACTCCGAAACGCACCGTTTTCCAAGTCACGCATATTGTATTTCTGAGCGTGACCAGATAGATCAAAAAGCATCGTGTCTGATGGAAGAAGGCACGATAGGCATCGCGGTTGATATCGCAAAATTCGTACATCACCTCTCTGTCCGGAATATTTTTATGCGCCGCCGCCTCTTCTCGGAAATCAATCTTCGAATTCGTGTAGTTAGATATTACGAGATTCTACGATTTTCTACTTCAAAGTTGCCGAATTAATTCGCGAATTCAGAAAAAGGGTCATTAATCCTTGACCCTTGTTAGACCACATGTCATTTGGTGAATTTTAATTTTACAAAAACACAGAACGCTTGTTGAAAATTTAATTTAGATTTGCTATCGATATAATGAATGCTTAGAAATATTTTTTATTGTAAAAATCTTGTGGTCCAGTTTGAAAATTAAAATTTCGAATATTGTCATTAATGACAATACATGTATCTCATAGAAAATTTCTTAAATAAAAAAATTAATTTTTTTACAAGAAAAGAGTAAAATTAAAGATATATATATATTTTTTTTTTAAATATTATATGCCTTCCATTGGAATTCTGTTTGCGGTATAGATATAAGTCTTTTACTTTCATCTCATGGACTATTCTTAGCTGCAACTGGACAAGTGGTTTCTGGTGGGTGATCTGGTATTCATGGTTCAATCATATATGAGATAATGACGCACGTTTGATGTAACTTCCTGCGCAATGTGATCTCTAATATTATTATTATGTCAGTTATACATGTTTGAGCATCCACGGGTGTGACTGGTCACAGGCGACGATAATTCTTAGGGAACGACCGGTAAGGAATCCGTAAAAGTCTGATGGTCGTGGCCGGAATCGTAAAATCCCGGTGTCTAGTCGGATCCTCTGATTGATGTGTCAGAGTACCTTCCACGTTCCATCATCTTCAAAGGTAGCGATGAGGAGCAGAATTATCTCTACGGACTACCGACGTGCATCTCTCTCTGCCTCTATTCATACTTCATGTTTGTGACGAATGCGTTTTGCAGTCGTAACTCTTTCTAGGGATGCATCAGGGAGACTTGCTCGCAGTTGCGCTTCATCATGCATAGTCGTCGTTATTCCGGTTTGAATTTAAATATTCCGAATTTTACATTTTTTGCGATATGTTATATGTAACGTTTCAGATTTTTTATTGCGATTATGTTACAAACTTTTTTTTTAATTTAATTAATTTATTCTTATTTTACATGCGCGAATAGATGAAATAAGCAAGTCTTTAGAAATTATGGAAGAGATTAAAATATCTTCTATTTTAATTTCTTTTATTATATTAAAATTAATTACATAAAATACATTGATTGTTGAATATGCGAAAGAAATCAATTTTATTTTGAAAAAAATACATTGCAACATTGTATATAAGTTAACAAATTTTACTATCAAATTTAGAAACTTTGAATTTTTTTCTCTTTAAATATTTAAAATTCTACAAAGAAGTCAAAAAGGAAATAATAGCGTCAAAGAAAAGGATTAAGAGAGATTTTGAAAATCTAACAGTTTTCAGAACAAACTCGGTTCTTTAACTTACGATAAGATTGATCGCTTTTTCATAATTTGAAAAGCATATTAATCATATTCGTATAAACGCAAGCCGGAATATTTCTTCATAAAAACATTATTATTAATTTTGAATTATATTTGATCTCCAGATATTTCTTTTTATAATCTCTATCTAATATTTAAAAAAATTACATAAAAGAAATCAAACAGCGATATAGAATTGACATTCTAAAAACTTTCCAAAAAGATACCACTTGAAACAAATAATAGCGAGTGAATGGAAAATCCTTCGAGTCTCGTATATTTTTAGAACAATTGAAAATGTATGAACCTTTGCCACGAGTCTGCTTGTCTGGGACGTTAGATATCTTTATCGCATGTCTCGATCGAGATGACTCAGTAATTCGCGTCATGAAAGAGGAAAAGCGACTGGTCATCGGCCCTTCGCGACATTCATCAACTGCGACATTGTTCATTCACATTCTCGTTGTTTCTCAAGTGAATTCATTATAAACACCTTGTTTCAGAGCCAAAAGTCAACTGGAGTTTTTCTGATCTTAAAATTCACTAGGCGCTCGATATTCTCTCTTTCTCGTTTTTCTAAATTAATCAAACCGACACATAGATCAGAAAAATAATTAAAAATTTTTCATAAAAATATTTTCTAAAAATATTTTATTGTATTTCACAGATTACATAATACTTTAAAGCTCAGTTTAAAATTGATATTGTCTCTTTTTTTAATTTAGCGGAGCGATTTAATATATACACTCACTCCAAAAAAAAGCGATACACTTAAAATTTGGAAAAAATTTCAAATGACGATAATTTCGTAAATAATAAAAATAGAAAAGTTTCTAAAAAATGAAAATAAAGCGTGGAATCTATACTTTAAGTATCTATTTATTTTATTGTTGCGAGATAAATTTATTAAAAATGGCGGATAATAAAACAAAAAAATGCAGAATTGAAAAATAATGGTACAATTTGCCAAGGTACATGGCGTGAGTCAAATGTCGCAACTTAATGGGATAAAAAGCATATAATAGTACAGAGTCTCCCCTTTAAAATGCTTTTTTATTCATCTCGATACAATGATTTTTCGCCGAGATATTCGTACTTAAATAAAAAATCAGCTTTTTACTTTAAATGCAAATAACTCTGCGAAAAATTATCGTATCGAGATGAATAAAAAAGCATTTTAAAGAGGAAACTCTGTACTATTATATGCTTTTTATCCCATTAAGTTGCGACATTTGACTCACGCCATGTGCCTTGGCAAACTCTACCATTATTTTTCAATTCCGTACATTCTCGTTTTGTCATCCGCCATTTTTAATAAATTTATCTCGCAACATTGAAATAAATAGATTCTTAAAGTAGAGATTCTAAGTTTTATTTTTGTTTTTTAGAAACCTTTCTATCTTTATTCTTTACAAAGTTATCGTCATTTGAAATTCGATGATTTTTCCAAATTTCAAGTATACCGCTTTTTTGGAGTGAGTGTATTCATGACGGACATCAAAATATATTATCATCTTGTAATAATTTTTTCTTCGACAAAGAGATGATAATACGCATCTTGATCAATAATCCCACATTATTATTATTTATTTGCGTATAGCTCGATCGAGCATGTCTATCTCCATATCGACTCGATCCCGCGAATTCAGATTGCGATCGGTGCGGATCACAATTAATGCATCAGATCAAGCATGTGCCCCATCAGTGACGACGATCACGTAGCGTTGATCACGATGCCGTGTATATTTGCTTTACGGAAATTCTCCGGCCGTATACGAGCAACCATTTGAGGAAACCTGGAGTGGGGAATCCGCTCGTTTCCACATCCCCTGTGTCCACCAATGGGTTCATCCCGTATCCCCATGTCCGTGTATCTCATGGTATAAAAGCAATTGTGACAACCAAGATTAGCAGCATCGTGCAAAAAGTTGGTGCGTCAAGTAGATCGGGGCAAGATCGGTGGAAGTGAATCGCTGGGTTATCGCGATTTTTTGTCAAAGACGATACAAAAAAAAAAACGGTGGAGATACTTCTCAAAGAACCTTTGAAGAAAAACTGGAGTGACTGGACAGAAGAAGACAAAGAAATTGTTGCGTGGAACTTGAAGGAAGATTAAAACTCTAATAAGGATGGCTGGCTGGATTAGTTTCATTCTAGTTGCTATCGCATCGATGATTGCGATAGCAGAATCTAGGGTGGTTCCAACTAACAATAAGCCGAGTAAGCGTTAAAAATCAACTTTTATTTTAGAAATTATTTTTTGGAAAATTTTAAAAATTATAGAATTGTTTTATATTTTAGATATTTAATGTTTAATATTTTATATACAATATTTTATATGCGTATTTAGAGAATATGAAATCTCCAAATTGTTTTGAACGTAATATATTTAGCAACTTTTACAATATGTGTAAAAAATAATAAACAATAAATATATAAAATATAATACTGATTTAATAAATAGTATATTTTATTCTTGAATTAAATACCTGCGTTGTTCGCAGCTTCCGTCATGCTGGACCCTAACGGCAGCCCTATCATATTCCTGAGGGAAAAGAGAACGGTCGCGCGCCCGTATCCGCACAGGGCGATGATGTTCACCGGATATTACAGGCCGATACGTCGCACGGGGAACAGCGGCCAGGCAACGGGCCTCTTCGCGCAAGGAAATGCCGTAAGTGGGGAAGCCTTCTTCGGCGGGATGCACGCACCGCATCTCAAGGATGGTCCGGAACCGATCGAGGAACCGGAAGTGTCCAGCGCTCACGCGCACGCGGCGCCGACAGCCGACGAGGAGCGTCATCACAATTATCATCATCAGAACGAAGTGCATCGTCACGAGGAGGATCAATATCACGAACACCACCATCACGAAGACGAGAAACATCACCATCATCACCAGGACTCTTCTACCTCTCAGGTATGATACTTGTGAAATTTGGAAATATGCGACAATTATTATTAAAAAATCTAAAGCAGAAATATAATGAGACTCTAATTTGTATAGTATGATTTATGTTAAGAAAATAATATTTGTTTAAGTAAAATTTTGTAAATTATAAAAAAATATATATTTTAATTTCTAATTTCTTTTTAAATTTTTAGAAACTTAAACAATAATCACAAGCATTCATCTTGCAGTACAATTGTAAAATACTACGTGTACTTATGTTATTTATACAGGAACATCACGAGCAGGAAGAGATTCCAACTACCGAGATTGCGCAAACACCGGAAGAACCGATCACCACCACGGAAGTGTCCGTTACTCGACCAAAATGGCATCATACAAAGAAGCCGCACAAGACGCCTGTCGACGATGAGGATGAAGATGAAGACGAGGAAGACGAGGATGACGACCAGCCGCCCGTACCGTTTGTACCTTTCAAGGGCAACCGGCGTCGCCAAAAAATCCCTCATCTGAATAACTTCTTTCCCATGATCTTCAGCTTTCCGAGATTGGCCACTCGTGCTGGATCCTCCGGTTCCGTTCCTGGTACCATCACAGCCATCGCGAATAGTTATTCCACCGGAAAGGGTGGAGTCGCCAGTTCAGTAGCTACTGCATACGGCGGATCTTCTGCTGGGTAAATTATATTTTTTTTTATTAATGTCATTTTTTTTCTTATAAAAAAAGTATTATCTTCTTCTTCACACACTAAGAAATGTGTTTTTACTTTAATCGTGTTACAAATAATTTTAATTCTTAATTATTTCAATTTTATCTTTTCACTCAAATTATTTATATAATTTTGCATAATTAATTTTGTATATATACGATAACAAAATAAATACATATATGTATATAAAAACTAATATCAATTTTTCGTGTGTGTTTATTTTTATTAGAAAGAAACGACGCCAGCAGCCATACGAGAAATAATTAACTCCTAAATTGATCAATCTTATCGGCAAGTTAAAAAGCTGAGTTCGTTCTGAAAATTATTAGGGTCTTCAAAATCTCTGCTTGATTTTTTGTTTTTTTTACGCTGTTACTTTCTTTTTATCTTCTTTGTAAAACTTATAGAGAGAGGATAACCATTCAATTAATACATAAAAGTATATATTTTTTGTGAAAGAACAAAACTGAAATTTAAGAACAATTTTTAACTTGTTGAAGATTGTACAATTTATTAGGTAAGATACATTATTAAATTAAGTAGACTAAATAACATAAATTTGCGCAGTATATCTTCATATTTAAATTACACCGAGCTTTAAATTATTATTGTACTGCTTTATAATAAATTTTGAACAGATTATTGTTTAACTCTGCAATTATTATTTCAATTTGTTTATGTACTAATTTAGAAAATATACAAATTTGTTTTTTAAAAAATTATATATATATAGTATTCTCTTCGTGGGATGCACAATATTGTCGTAATTTATAATTACCATGTAATGAATTAATACTAATAAAAATTAATGGCGTAATTTGCTATTAAAAAAGTTAATATTTTTACATAGACTACAAGCTTATTTATTATTAAATATCTGTGCGCAATTAATGTATTTTTTTTTTAATTAAAATTTTTTAAAAATCTAAAAAGTCAAAAGAGAAAAATTCAAAATTTGGTAGTAAAATTTGTTAGCTTATATACAATATTGCGATTATTTTTCCTAAATAAAATTGATTCTTCCATATTCAGCAGTCTATGCAAATATTTTATATAGTGAAATAATTTTAATATTATATAATAAAAAATATTGTAATAAAAAATCTTTTAGTTTCTTTCGTAATTTTTGAAGTCTTGTTTATTTTGTCTGTCCGTATGTTTTGTTTACGTGAGGCTCTAAGCAAGAAGAATGCGAACTACGCAGATAGAGAAAAGTTACAACAAATATTACATAATCCAAAGTCGACACATTTTACCATTAAAATACAATTAAAAGCCGGGTCTATGATTAGCCATGCTGCATCTTAAATTTCATTCAAAACAGTATTTTTAATCGTCCGTAGTAAATTAAGAAAACAACTGACAATTAAGTGTCACGTATAACGAACAAATTATGGCGAAGATAAAAATATGGTTAAACTATACGCGCTTTGACATTTTCGACTCTATAATTCGCAAATTTATAGTTAAATTTATGGCTTATTAAAAGGTCGATCGAATTAATACAATATATGATACGGAGCTATATTTTGCGATAAAATATATCCGGCTCCGATTAATTAAGACAAACAATCATTTGTCAAATTGACACAATTTTACATAGTATGTTTACGCAGTTTGAGTAAGATGACGAAACTATTTCGTATTTTTTTATAGACAAGAAAGAGTAGATATAGATGAGATTCAATATATACATCTTTAATATATGCATATTGAAGAAGTGTTTTTTTACGAGAATAGGAAATTATTGTGCGTAAAAAACTATTCATATATTCAGAAAAGTTATATTGCAAGTTTCGGAAAGATGACAAGAATCTCTATCAAATTGTCGAGTCACCTTGCGCGTCTTGCAAGGTTTTTAATCATCGTCTTGGGAAGAAATAATAATATATAACTGTATATATAATATTCACGCGATTCCCCTTAGGCAGTTCCAAATTTAAACGTTCTTACGTAATTTTTAAAACGATTCTGTCTGTTTGGATCTTGAATGCAAAATACGTGCGAATTTAATTTTATCTTTCTAATCTTTCAATAAATTAGTGAAACTTTAAAGCATATTTTTGCAATGCGTAAATATATTTCGTAACGTATATAAATACGCGTAAGCATTAACGAGAAATTCATATTATGAGTAATACCATGCTAATGAATTCCTCCACATTAATTGATGACTAATAACGGAGATTTCCATTAAAGTACTTGCTAATTGCTCGAAGCAAAACAAAACTATGTACGATATCTATATATCATCTTCTAATTTGATTTATACATATAATTCTCTTGTATTTTTTCTTTATTCTATTTTTAATATTATTGTAAGTTTCTCGATCTATATAATACATATTTTCTCAATAATTTAATTACAATTCTTCTAAACTTTCTATAATCCATTGTACATAATATTTGATATTTAATAATTGTAAATTGAATATTTAATTATCATTCCAAGGTTTCTCGTATTCAAAATAATAATTTGCATAAATTATGTATATATTCACATTCTCTTTAATTAATATGCAAGACATACATATCTTTATTCATTGATCAAATTTTAACTTAAAAGTAATCAATGATCTAATTAGAACATAAACATTTAAAAGTTACAAAAATCTCGATTAATCGACGTAATTCATTTCACAAGCTTTCAATCAAGTTAATAGTAATAAGATTAATAACACCGGGAATCCCCATGTATTCGTTCAACGACCTAAGACTGTGAAGCCCCGAGAAAAATCAAGGCTACTTGTTGACCGTTAATGTATCTCCCTAGCAAGTAAAATTATACGGTTTTTAAAGCGTGCTGGCTGTTCCGGGAATTTAAGTAGTAGGCAATGTTGGATGATAAATATCATTCGAAGGCTACTACATACGTATGATGACAGTTTGACAAATGGTATTTTAAATATCAAGTTATGCAATAATCTGTATGAATAAAAACTTTAAAGGTTAAAAGGGTTAAAAATTGAATATTTTCTTTAGAGATTTTTCTCATTATAACTTAATAAAAATGGCAAAAATTTATTTTTTTTGTAAAAGAAATATGTTATTTCAATGTTATATGTAAAATATTTATAACTATATATTTTCCATTTCACTTTTATATCCACAAAAAGAAAAAGCTTATATATTTTTGTAAATAAATAATTATTAAATTTTTCTCTTTCTCTGCTTAAGATTTTCTATTTTAGGGAAATATTATTTATTATTATACATAATTTTTGCCACAACTATTATAATAATTCAATATATCATATATCATAACATTAATAAAATATGCAGTTTTAAATTAATGTTAATTTAAATTTTAATTAATAATTAATTTAATAGTAGTTCAAAACAACTACATCAAAGTATTGTAATGATAATAATTATTAATTTAAAAGTGTTAGTCAAATTTAATTAATTAGTAATTCTTTTATAAATAAATAATCAATTATCCGCAAAAAATTCTGAACTTTAAAATTAATTAAAGTACTAAGAAAGCCTAATATAAAGGCTTTTATAAATATCTTGTTAGCAATTTACCCGACCTTGCGGTCTTCGTGGTTTTCGCACTTTTTCTTCTTTTTAATTTTTTCTACAATTAAGACGACTTATCAAAAGATACCGAGGATTGCTCGATCATGTTGTTCCTACTGCTTGTCACAAAATAATGTTCGACCTTGCGAGTGGGAAATCGTCTCAGGGACAGCGAGAAACCGACGACGGCGCATCATCAACATTTAACACTGGCAAAGAAGAGACTCGTTTTGTTCGCGTTAATGATATACGGCTGATTCGATGCGGTCCGAAAGTGCCTGCGTTTCGTACCTGCGTAAAAACACGCCGGGATATCCCGGAACGCGCGTATGGGTTGCCATATATAAAGACTGCTTGACCGATTTTCTCATCGTCATTTAGCACTGGATACTCGCATCATCACGATCGGCCAGAATGTCAAGGATAGCAATCCTTGCGCTTCTCGTTGCGCTGCTCGTCGCAGTTGCAGTTGCATTACCGACGTCGCCTTCGCAATCTCAAGGTAAACACGCGATAGAGAAAAGAAAACGACAGAATTTAACGGAGGAATTACTTGTGAAAGTGGTGATACGTGTTGAATATCGAATTATGTATAATGCGATTATGATTGTTATTTAATTGAATTCTTATCGAGATTGAAAAATAAGAAATATTTTATTAATATTTTTCAGAACAATTTAAATTTCACGTTTGACTCATTTTATACTTACATACGTATAAAATTGGAATGTGTATGTGTGAAGCGCATGTGCAGATTTAATTCCAAAAGACGGAATTACATTATTAATTTTGTCTACGTTCTTGATTCGAAATGCCGATTTTGTTGAACAACATATGCGTCATGCATGCTGCGTAATCAGTAAACACAAGTCAGTCTATCTACTTTACATGACGTTGTTGACATTTCAAATATTTATGATTTATTCTGTAAATACATTATATGTTTGTTGAAAAAAATATATATGTATTATCAAGTGCAAAATCTTTAATATAATGATTGTATTAAATTCACTTAATATATATATATATATTAAATTAATTTAATTCAATGTTCATATAATTAATTTACCATTTTTTATTAAAAATTTCAATTTTTAAAATAAATAATCATTAATGACATTTTAAAATTTACTTCTCGAAATGAAATAATTTTATTTGGAGATTAAAGTATCTCACTTCATTCAGGTCTCATAAGAGTAGTCAGAGCGGCTCCGCTAGAGCTCGTTCGTCTTAAACGTGGTTACGGTGGATATGGTGGATATGGTGGATATGGTGGATATGGTGGATATGGCCGTGGCGGTCATTACGGTCACGGTGGCTATGGCCATCGAGGGCATGGGGGAGGATGTAGAAGATGCGGTGGAGGATACAGGTTAAATTACTTGTTATACTATAATGTTATCGATTATTCATTATGTTGTTCATCAAACAATATATCTATATATATATATTGCTAAAATAATCGATAAAATAAGTATAACAGGAAATTTAAATTCTATCTAAAATGCTTAGGTTGAGGGATATTTAATGCTTTTTGTAATATATTTTCAACGAGTTTGAAAGTTCTCGACTTGCATCACTTTGTCCTTTGTCCAATATTTACCCAGAATTAGCGAAAGCGGATGAAAAGGAACCACTGCCGAATGGCGTGATTATCGAACCAGCATTGGCTCCGCTATTGGCGAAGGAACCAGCCGCCGTATCCAGGATATCTTCCACCGCATCTTCTGCATCTTTCTTCGTGCCCTCCATACCCTCGAAGGTCATAGCCACTGTGAAAACCGTCGCCGTATCCACCACGGCCATATCCACCATATCCACCGTAACCACGTTTAAGACAAACGAGTTCTAGTGAAGCCGCCCTGATTATTCTTAGAGACCTGAATGAAGAGAGAGATTTTGATCTCAAAATAAAATTATTTTATTTTGAGGAGTAAATTTTACAATGTCATTAATGATTATTTATTTTAAAAATTGAAATTTTTAATTAAAAATGTTAATAATTTTATTGTTGCTAGTAAATTATTAAATCAAGGTATTTTTGTGTAATTCGATCAATATTAGCTACAAATTCGTTTATTTCTTACAACGTTTCGACCATCAGGATTTGGTTCCGTTACAAGTAAAGGTTACGATGTAATATAATTAACACGGAACAATCCTCCATTTTTTAGATTTCCACCGGAATTATAAACCTTTGTCAAACATAAGAGAGAAATCATTGTATCATGATTCAGTTAATCATATGTTTATCATTAATGACATTTTAAAATTTGCTTCACAAAATAAAATAATTTTATTTTCAGATTAAAGTCTGTCTCTTCTTTCAGGTCTCATAAGAATAGTCAGGGCGGCTCCAGTTGAGCTCGTTCGTCTTAAACGTTACGGTGGATATGGTGGATATGGCCGTGGTGGATACGGTGGCTATGGTGGATATGGCCGTCGAGGATACGGAGGAGGATGCAGAAGATGCGGCGGAGGAGGATATCCTGGATTCGGCGGTGGTGGTTCCTTCGCCAATAGCGGAGCCAATGCTGGTTCAATTAGCACACCATTCGGCAGTGGTTCCTTCTCATCCTCTTTCGCTAATGCTGGGTAAATATCGGACAAAGTGATGCAAGTCGAGAATTTTTAAACTCGTTGAAGATACACTGTAAAAAAATTTTGTAAAATTACATTAAAAATATGTAAAATTACATAAATAATAAATGTAAAATTACATGATAAATAATGAAAAGGTAATCATTTTTATTATTTATCGTGTAATTTTACACTTATTATTTATGTAATTTTACATATTTTTGTGTAATATATTACATATTTTTTTACAGTGTACAAAAAGCATCAAATATCTCTCACTGTAAATATTTTAGATATGATTTAAATTACCTGTTGTACTCATTTTATCGATTATGTTGTTCATCAAGCAACATATATATATATATATATATATATATATATATTATTATTATTATTATTATTATTATTAATTATATTGTTATGTAATAATAGTGTTAGCATATATTTTACAATCATGTTTCGATTGCAGGTCCCGCGGTTATGGATATGGACGATGAAACTGGATTTAAAGACATGGTTAATCATAATTGAAAGTGAACTTATGTGACAATAAATTACTTGTACAATTTATGTGTATAAGTGTTTTCTTCGTGTAATTATAATAAATATATTGTAGAAAAAAAATTCAGCTCCTGATTTATTCCTCAACCTGTTTAATATATTGAGACAGTTATCGTTATTTATTAATTTCACAAACTGCAATTAATATTAATAATTTAATACGTCTCATCGTGCCTCTGAAGTTTTAAATTCGATACGTTATTAAACGCTAATATTTTCTTCTATATCTATTTGATCAGTGTTTAATATATTAATGAGAATAATATTTAGACTATTGATTGTCTTTACTCAATCTTTTATTTATCCTTTATTGCGAATCGCAATTTTAGATTATTATCTCATGCAAATTTTAAAATAAAATAAAAATTAAAAATAATTAATATTTATTATTAATTACTAATCAATAATTAAAACAATAATAAAAGTATATTACTCTCGACATAATTTAAAATGCAGTTATACATGTCTATTTGTGTAGAATAATCGCACTCGCGTAATCTCGCTTTCGATTTATAGCGATATGTTTGTTTATTCTTAGCCGGATGTTTCCGTCAAATGTTTTGGAAAACGTTGTAAATGCAAGTATCATTGTTCATACATGCGATGCCTATAAAACGGCTGCGTTTATCCGAGAGCAACCTGTTAGAGTTTCACTTGCATACCAAAAGTGACTTTGAGGCGTGATCGAAAAATGGAAATGAAGTTTCTTGTGATCCTATTTGCTGCCGTCATAATTGGAGTAAGTTTCACAAATTAATATCCCTTTCCGTACCATGTGCGTCACCTATTTATTTCATTACTCAAATTCCTTCGCTCTTCTCATATTAAATATAAATAATATAATATGTATATATCACAATCCAGGTAGCAAGCTGACGTCATTAAACGTCAAAATGACATCATTTTGACGTCAGCTTGTTACCTGGGAATTTCAATTTTATCTTAACAAAAATCTTCAGGCGCAATGTCGTTCGATCGATCTTTCGGACGTAGGACTTGTAGGAGGCGAAGGTAGGAAAATTACATATATTTTATCACATTTATTATGTTAAAAATTAAGTATTACCGCACTTAATGATACGAGTGATTACGCGAGCAATTTCTACGTATCCATTTCTTAATTAGAAAAATAAACTGTCGCTTACATACGATTTACAAAAACGTATAATTTTTTGAATTTAATAATAGGGCAAGTTGCTACAAATATGCCAGAGCAACTGAAAGAACTAATGACATCGTATGAGAAAAACTTTGGAAAGCTCCTCAACGTTTCCGTAAAAATAAACGAAGATAAGGATAATAATGAACAGGGGGTCTGTATACATATTTTATAGAACATGCTTAAATAAATAAATTACATGCAGAATATCGATGGATTAGCTATAAGTAGATTTATTTATCCTATTTAAACTAACCGACACTTTTTATTCCAGATACAATTTTTGAATCAACTAAGCTCGCTCATGACACAATTGGACTCGGAACAATCAATCCCAGGATCAAGAATTTCACAACAAATTGTCTCAGAACAAACAATTCCAGACCAATCAAGCCCAGACCAAATAATTCCAAAGCAAACAATCCCAGATGAAACTATTTCAAATCGAAGAGAAGCGATAAATATGTACACTTTTGATAACGATTCCATCTGGCAAACACCGAATAATAAATCGACAAGGGCTGCGAATGACTTAAAAGAACTACTTACTCAGATAAAAGATATCCTCAATCAGGAGGATGGGAGACAGGAGTCTGTAATAGTCATACTGATGAACTCACACGGATCAGTAAGTATCTGGAAATGTCTTTATGTTTTCACATGTAAAAAATTTTATTAGTTAATTAATTAATTATATTAAATAAAAAACTGCAAGAGATGATAGATTTAGATGTAAATATTGTATAATAATAAAAGATAGTTAATATGTATCATAAAACTTTAACACAGAACTTTTTAACACAGAACGTGTATGTGAATTCGAAGAAACTGCCACGTGTTTTGCCACGTCCTATGCCACAATAGAAGAACGAATTACTAATATTCTAATCGATATCAAACATTATTTAGACAAGCTATGCAAGTAAGATTATTTGTTACAGAAATAATTGTAAAGAATGTATAATTAATTAATATAATTAATAGTTAATTTTAATTTATTTCAGGAAACATCATTTGAGACGTCGACAATTATCTCAGAAAAATATTTGATGATACTTTCTCTATTAGTCAGCTGAACAAAGAATCGATTATGTAGAATGAATACACTGAAAAAAAACTACGTATATCATTGTATTAAAGTTCTATAATATACTACAAAATATTTTAAAATAACAGTAGTTAAAATTTATTAGACATTTTCTCATATAAAAAATGACAAAAGATCTTAATTACAATGTATTTGTATACCATTAAATATATTTAAATATATTAATTTCGACACACATGTTATATTACTTATGCTACACAAGGTAACCCAGAACGTTAAATTAACAAGTTAAAGAAATGTTAGAAAAATTAGGGATTACTTTGTGATGTTCAATTCATTGAGCTTCTCTTATAAATATTCGTAATAAAATTACATATCTTAATTATTTTCAACTTTATGATATTTTTTCACATATAAGGACACATTTGCAACCTATAATTCCTTTGAGACTTTTGATCCTCTCAATGAGTAGATTTTTTTCGCGCAATAAAACATTTTGACAAATTTTGCGGGCCCATGTTGGGGATGATCTTTGCCGAACATGAACAGGAGAATTAGCTAACAAAGACCAACTAATAATTTTTATATACCCTGTACAATGCTCTTCCAAAGAGTGATAATGGAAATAATTAAAAAATTTTTCAAACAATTATTTTATTGAGCATGTAAAATGTACATACATACTTAACAATAACCTGCTTTTATTGCCGATACCAAGTTTGATTACCATATGTTATTCACAATTTGTTGCCAAAATATTTTAAATGTAAAACATATAGATATAAATACATATAATATATGTTAAATTAAATTAAAATTTCTAAGTATGGATTATATTTATGTAATCACAGAGCACAGAGTCGACCGTAATAAATTGTTAAATGAGTATTTAAGCGTGTATGTGTGTGTATATTTACATATCTACATAAGGGAAACTTTTCCGGATTTTGTTTATTAACGAATAAATTTTTTTCTGTCAGAAATAATGTAAGAGTATGTAACCTTACTTGTACTTTTTGGGGCCAAGCACAGGGATGATCGTAATAAATTGTTAAATGAGTATTTAAGCGTATGGACGCGTATATATAAATGTCTATTTAAGCGAAACTCTTCCGGGCTTTGTTTAGTAACGAAATAATTTTTTTCTGTCATAAATAATCTAAGAGCATGTAACCCTACTCGTACTTTTTGTAATTTTGTAATTTTTTTTTATATCTTTTTTATATCTTTTTTTATATAAGAGGTCCCAGGACATATCGCTATGCTTGTAAAATTTAAATAAATTCAGTCATGTTATAATATCATTAATCAAACATTTTCGATTAAATTTATTTAAATTTTATTAATCGTTGCACATAGTTAATTAATGGAAATAGAGAAATTATATCGATTTTCTTAAGTCAATATTTAATGGAAGAGATTCGCATTAAATTTGCTATATTTAATCGTCAATTATATACTTTTTAATTGTTTCTGCTCAAATCAATTGTCAATTGAATTGTCTTCGATTGAATCTGTTTTTTTTCAATCGTCCATTAAAGTACTTCTAATTAAAATTAACTCATATTAATCGTTTAATTGAAAAACTTTCAATTAAATTAGCTTGTATTAATCGTTTAATCGATCGCTCTCCGATTAATTTCGTTTATATCAATTCTCAATTAAATAACCTTTAATTGACTTCGATTATATTAATCGTTAATTAAGCGATCTTCGATTAATCTAGCTTATATCAATCGTCATTGTAACGATCTCTAATTAATCTTTCTAAAATTAATCGTCAATTCAAAATATTTTAATTAAATCTGTTCATATTATTTGTTCAATTTTAAAAAATTTAATTGATATTTTGCCAACTCTGCATCAATATATGTACGTGGAATATTAAATTGATTTATTGATATATTCGCGTTATATTCGTAGTATTGAGCGACTGTCATCGCGAAAGTTAATAGTTTGACAGTTATTCAAAATAAAATTAAATAAAATTATTACATGAAATTAGACAATTGCGCGCGCTTTCGTTAGTTGAGTATTATATATAATTTCCATCGATTAATGTAAGCAAACTCAATAAATAATTTTAATAAAATCCTGAATAAAAATTTTATGTTATCAAAAATTTGTTAATTTCTAGTTATATTGTAACACTATTTTTGTATCTTGCCACGTTAGACAATAAAAATTTATGTATTTGTTCATCCAATCTCTTGCTATCGCATTTAAATGTTTTTCAACCTCGCCATTTGATACGTTTGATCGATAAAACATAGTCGCCTCTAACGACGAAGTCCTCATCGCGACGAAACAGTTCTTTGTCACTAATTGGTAAGTTTTTTCTATTTTAATCGAATGTGTCGATCACACTAAACAAGAGAGATAGTAAATTGGTTTTAGTAATGTTTAGCCAGAGTCTAAGACCTCGAACTGTTTACGCATGATGTGGCAGATAATAAAGACAGAAAGAGTATTGTACGTGTCTTTGCTTCAACGATAAATTATTAGTGATATACTTTTGAGTAATTAAATGTGTGATTACTTAACGATTATTTATACATACTACTGTATATTACATTTTTTAACGTAGAATTAGATATTTTGATTAATAAAAGTTATATATAATTTTGCATTCGTAGTTAATGTAAATCTATAAATAAAAATAATAAAATATATATATATATATATTAGGTAATATAATATTCCTCTGGAATAGATGTATATTTTTTTATTAACGTATATGTATATGTATATGTACATATAATAATTAATTTTATATCATTTGTATTTTATATAATTTTTATTTTATATGATTTGCATTTTCCGACAATTTTTACGTTTCTTCAATAATAAAACAAAATTTGTTTAATATGAAATCTTGTAAAATCTGAAAAATTGATTGTCATATCGGAAATTACCAGGTGGTTATATTTTTGATTCATTTATAGATTAAAACAAAATTCACATGCATGCTACATGCAATCTCGTTGTTAGAAATTGAAGAAGTTAAATTGAGAGAATCCATAGCCATAGGAATAGAAGTGTCGATCATTATCGTAGCACGATCTAATTTCGTGTGTACTATCATAGGTTTCGTTCTATGTAAGCCCACATCCTAAAATAAGATTTCATTTATTCGTAAAGTTATTATCTTTTCTGTGAAAGTTATATTTACATATAATTAATATAAGAGAGAAATAAAATAGATTTTAAATTTTAAGTAAGAATTTAAAAAAAATTCATATTATAATTGTCTTTGGCAAAATATTTTGAAAAAATAAAACGCATAACTGTATGTTTGTGTAAAAATAATATAATAGGTAGAAATGAATAATACATAATAGAAATAATACGTAGAGAAATATATAGGGATTCTATTCAAGATTAAGATTATTTATGCTTTTAAAATTGCAATTTCGTGTATTATAAATTGTCTTCTTGCGTTTGCAGGAGTGATTGTTGATGCATGCACATTGTTAGAAATGATTGCTCGAAAATGAAACATGCATTATTCAAAATAAAGCGCTTTTAAGGAATTGCATCTCATGTTTCAAGCATTTTATTACTCTGCTCACATTAATATGTAAGTCTTATGTTTAAAAGTAAATAATTTTTAGTATAAAAGATATATTAAATGTTAAAAATATCTATATAAAGACTTGCCATTAAAGTTTCAAAGTTGCACCACTTTCAAACTAAATACATTTAATTTAAAAATAGTATAAATTAAATTTAAATAAAATATTAATTTAAATTAAAAATCAATGTAAAACTGTCAAAATAATTTTATACATAATTTTAATTATACATAAATTGTGGTAATTGAAAAAGAAAGTGTGTTTAGGTATTCCAAAGTTTTTCGGCTTTCCCAGTTCTACCTGGTACTGCGTGTTAGACTGAAACAAATCCGAAATAATGTACGAGTTTCGGATACAATTCCTAAAGTGAGTTATATTCATTATCTAATGAGAAAAGTTTTAAGGTTTTATCTCGCAAAACGACTATAAGGCATGAACTTTTTACAATAGTGTTTTTAATATATAAAATATATTCTCTCCCTCTCTGATTAATATAATATTTTAGATATATATAACAGTATCATCAAGTATAAAATTTGGTATTATATATATTCAAATATTTATATTCTTATAATATGTATTATAAATTTTTATATAATGATAAAAAATTAAATAAATCCTGATTACAGGGTTCTGTTAAGTAGAGAAACCATATTATAAAGTTGACATTATCACCAAGCATGAAATCTGTTATCATATATGTTCAAATATTTATATTATCATAATATGTATTATAAATTTTTACATAATAATAAAAAAAATTAGATAAACTCAGTACAGAGCCCGGTTAAGTAGAGAAACCATATTATAAAGCCGACATTATCACCAATCATGAAATTTAGTATCATATATGTTCAAATATTTATATTCTCATAATATGTATTACAAATTTATATATAATGTTAAAAAATTAAATAAATCCTGATTGCAGGGTTCTGTTAAGTAGAGAAACCATATTATAAAGCCGACATTATCATCAAGCATTTGGTATCATATATGTTCAAATATTTATATTCTCATAATATATATTATAAATTTTTACATAATAATAAAAAAAATAGATAAACTCTCATTACAGAGTCCTGTTAAGTAGAGAAACCATATTATAAAGCCGACATTATCACTAAGCATAAAATTTGGTATCATATATGTTCAAATACTTATATTCTCATAATATGTATTACAAATTTTTATATAATGATAAAAAAATTAGATAAACACTAATTGCACGGTTCTGTTTAGTAGAGAAATCATATTATAAAGCCGATATTATCACCAATCATGAAATTTGGTATCATATCTTTTTAAATATTTATAATATCTCTTATTTTTGATATAATTTAAATTACATTTACTTATACAATATGTAAATTACATTGCAAATTTTATTTTTTGTCTTTATGCATGCAGTTCAAGTTATGCATATGTTAAATGCACGATTTAAGTTTATTGGAATGTATTATGTACTAACGAAAATGCATACGAGTTTTACCGACAAAATCGACTAACAAAAGAATTATGCAAATGTGGTCATGCATAATAATAAATTGATTATACATAAGAGAAAGAGAAAAAGAGACAAACTTTTGATGAGTTAAGTCAGCTTTGATTGATTATTTGCAATTTTCGATTATCGTTAATAAAAAAGGCTATTTTTATAATTTATTGCTTATTGATTAATCGATTGGAATGCCTACAGCGATTCATGATAATAGTTTCTATTTTCATACTTTTTTTAATTCTATTAAATAAATTTGCATTTTTATTACAATCGCGATGATTGCCCAATTTAAATTACAACTTTCAAGCAGCAGAAAAAGAATCATATCAGTCCCATATACATGATTATTATTACATTTTAGCCCAAAACATTATTTAATTCAATATAATAAATTTTGTACATTATATTATTATAATATATATTTTGATCGTTTTGGCTATTTTTATTATTTTTATTATTTTCGTCTTATTCACTTTGATCATTTTGAGTGTTATTATTTTTTATTCATTTTGATTGCTTTATTATATCTTAATAATTTTAATTATAATATTTTGATCATTTTGACCATTTGACCAAACACTATTAGTAACATATTACTTTTCCGTATTATAATTATACATTATATGTGTATATATTTAAAAAATATCACATGCATAAATATTTTTTGAGATAAAAAAATCTCGAAAATCCATTATTATAAATCTCGGATAGTGCGTACAAATTAAAATATTAATATCTGAATTAAAGTACCAATTAGTTTGAAACTTTTAGCTATTGAGCCGGCATGTCCGAACGACGGAGCGCCACGTCGACAGAGGGTGAACAGTCGGGTGTCGGCGTCGGCGCCGAGCGTCCAACCAACAGTATAAGCGTTCGTGCCGGCGCAACCCTTATGAAGAGCGTCTCCCTATTCCTAACGAGTGGTCGCAAGGCATCCGTCAACTCAAAACGGCAGAGTTGTTCCGCGTCCGGCAAAGGCGAGCCACCTCGAAGGAGACGTCGCAAAAAGATGCCGGAAGGCGGGAGAAACTCCGCGTACATCATCAAAGTGATCGAGACCCTTAAAAAAAGACGAGATTCTCCAGGCGAGTTGAATAAAAAATGCGTTGATTATGAGTCATTTGATTATAACAAGATAATTCTCGCATTTAAATCGCGCGATTAATTCTTATTTTAATTAAAATTTTTTTTAATCGGTAATTTTTATTTTATTTTTATTTATTTCAATAATTTTGAAATCGCACTTATTTCTTTTTTGTACTCATGATAAGTGTAATCACAAATGTGTATTTATTAAAGTAAAAGAAAAATTTAACAATTTACAAAAAGTGAAAATTAAATTTAGAAAGATAATTAATAAAATCTGGAAAATGTATGAAAAAATACATGTAGAAATTTATAAAACAATGAATAGAATGGAAAATCGGATTTACGCAAATAAGTTTCTAAAATTAAGAATTAAATTCTGTTGTAAATTATCGATTTAATAGTATATTTAATAGTAATTTATATAAAAATTGAAAATACATATAAACATTATTAAATAATATTGATATTTATTATAACTATTAATTTATCTTTCAACATATGCTTGATTCGTTAGGATAGAGTTGGATAATCTCTGCAAGCTTTATAAGAAGTTAACTAGTAATTCTTCCCAAAACCAACCACAAGTTGAACAAACGATATCCATTGGTAAAAAACAATCGAGACCAGTTGTCGAGGTAATTATGCCATTTACAATTGAAAGTAAATCACATTATAAATATTTTTTATTAAAAATAAGAAATTATTACTATATATAAATACTCAAATTATATTTGCAATTATACCAAAATATCTCATTTTCATTTTCATCTCAGGGAATCGACAGAAGTATTTTTCGAGAACTTCTCCACAATACATTTCACGTGATCACGGAGGACACTTTGATCGAGCGTCTATTCTGCTCTTGGGATCGAGAGGTCGAGGGCGCTATTCGATTGGAGCAATGGATCATGGGACTCGACGTGTTTTTGCGAGGCAGTCTGCGTGACAGGATCACTTTTTGTTTCCATGTATACGATCTGAACAGCGATGGATATATCACAAAGGACGAAATCTTTCAATTACTTAAGTACAAATATTTAAATCCCTATCTCACACATTGCAGTTTTATTTTGTCTATTATGCATACACGTTTATAATATCACTGTAGTCGCGCAGATTTGTTTTTAAAGAGAATATCATAACATTAAATATTATAATTTTTTAATAATTTAATACGTTTATTACAAATTATAAGCAATAAGCATTCTTGTATTTATTCATATATTTATAGTTTTATTCGTATATTTATAGAAACTGTCTGATAAAGCAGCCTGGTGAAGAGGATCCAGATGAAGGAGTGAAAGATTTAACGGAACTGGCTTTAAAAAAACTCGACGTCGACCACGATGGCAAAATATCATTTCGTGATTATGAAATGGCGATCAAGGAAGAACCGTTATTGTTAGAAGCATTCGGACAATGTTTGCCTACGGAAGAAAGCTGTGCAGCCTTTTTAGCGACGCTCCAATCTTGAAGACAAGATATGCGCACTCAAATAAATGTACCCTAATTGTATATATATATATATATATATATACGTTTTAATAAAAAATAAGGAATTTCCAGGTAGCAAGCTGACGTCAATCGACGTCAAAATGACGTCAATTTGACATCCGTTTGCTATCTGGGAATGCCTTATTGCTGGTCGATGAATGTCATTTTAATTATCAATTTGTATTAATAAATTGTACACAGATAGATAAAAAAGACGCTTGTAAAGAATTTAAATGGTAACAATAAATTCCGATGCATGAAGACCCGATATGATGATCGTGACGTCATTAAACGTCAAAATGACCTCCCCCCGTTTGTTAATATTAATACTTTAATTGTGCAAAAGGATTTATCAGTCTGTATATTCAATCAAAAGAAAGGGCACTTAAACTCATAGAATAGTAAAACTTTTGTATGTAAGAATATTGTGGCCGTACACACAAAAGCAAATCAGTCCAATTTAATACTTGTATGTGTAATTGAGCAGAAAATGTGTAAATAATATACAATTGCCATAACGTAATGTTGAAATGCTTATTATTCTCGCCGTTCATATCTCGGGAACTTGTTTTCGTAATTAATGATCGAATGAAGTATAGATCGCAAGACGTTTACCAATTATGATAGCTTATCAAAAGTGAAACCATATAATTCAAATGACTATGTACTAAAAGATATATTAACTCTTTCAGTTAAAATTAATATTAATAATTTTTTAAATAATTTTTTCACAATAAATGATTATTTTCTCTCTTTTTTTTCTTTCATTTGAAATTAACGGTGAAGATGCGCTAAAGTTTCAATTTTATTTAAATCATTCTTGTTAAATAATACAAGTTAGATTTTTGTAATAAATGTTTTGTTTAATGTATCGCACAGATATACATATAATTGTTCTTATTATTTTTACTTTATGAAATGTAAATGCAAAGCATATCTGCAACGTAAATATTACAAAATAAATATACGCTTAAAACAAGTTTGATCAGTTATTGTAAGATTATTTTTAACTATTATTTGTTATAAACGACACATTACTCTGCATTGCTATAACTTTGCTCAATAGTTATCTAAGGAATTATGGCACGAAATTATTTCTGTGTAGTAAAGTATTGCTTGTCGATGGATGTCATTTTAATTATCAATTTGTATTAATAAATTGTACACGAATAGATAAAAAAGACGTTTGTAAAGAGTTCAAATGGTAACAACGAATTCCGATATGCATGAAAACCCGATATGATAATCGTGACATCAGTCATTAAAATCGGATGAGATCGAAATGCTCGATATTAATTTTACGATCATATTTAAGACGGTTGCGTTTAGTTTTCGTTAGAGTAAATGGTAAAATGTGGCCAGGCAAATCTGTTTTGATCATTCATACGTTGGGTTCCTTGGTAATATAAACTTATACATATAAGGAATTTCTAAAGTTCTTTATAGCTTTGTTAAAGTTAATATTTTGCTATAAATAAATGTATTCTTATTTTAATAAATAAAAATTGTATCATTAAATTATAATATTTCTTTACGTTAAGTCTCTGAATCTTTTTATTTTAATTCAAAATAATAATTAACAAGAAAATACGTAGTGAAATAATTTTTTGCGATAATTATGATAGAAACCAGGCAAAGGTAAAGACGCAGAGATTTCCTGTTTTGCGAACAAGTATAATATGTGTCTTCTTCGTTTAGTTCTGCTATTTTTGATTGCATACTTTCCATTTGCTTAATCTCAACCTTTATTCAATTCAGTTAAAAAAATATATTTTTAGAAGATTATTTTAGCAATGTTATTACGACAACAATTTATAATATGTAGTAATTTTTTAGATGCATATTTTTATATAACTTTTTAGCAATAATTAATTTTTTTTTTTTTTAATTAGGTTTACTCTTTGCCGCCAAATATCGATTGGAGTAATTTGCAGTATGATCCAGATTCGGTTGCCCAAAATGAGAATATTCTGAAGATCTTTCTACAGTTGGCGATGCATACGGCAAATCGTTTGATCAATTTAAGAAACGAAACTGATAGAGACTATGATTGTAAGGGACGCAATGATAATCCAGTACATTTGATAACTGAAACTCCTATAACGCAATCGCTATTAAAAACGAATCTCGAACGACCTGACAAGAGTCAAGACAGAATTCAGAATCGCTTATTCATCAATGATTCCGAAATAAATAATAACCAAGACTTACTGGAAAATTTGAACCAAGATCAAATGACTCTTCTCTATTCTACGCAATCACAGGAATTGTTCGATAATTCAAGCAATTTTCAAGAAGCCATTAACGTTGCACGCGATTCAAAGACCAGCAATTTAATTTCGACACTTGTGCAAAATCAAACGTTATCTGACGTTCTTAGACGTAATCCTGATACTTTGCAAAAAATAAAAAATTTAAATACAACAAATAATGTGTCAAATGCGAATGAATTTAGTTTTGATGTACAAAATTCTCAGAATTCAACAATAGACGGTATTAGTGCAAGATTATTTAATTCAATTGATTTAATGAAAAACATTTCGAATGCAACAATTATGAATAATTTAACTGAAACTGTGCATAAGTTTCTTCCAAAATCGCAAAATGTGCAGGAATCAACGCCTGAAGTGAGTCAACGATTGATCGACATCGATCTAGCAAAAAATGTCCCAGATACAAAAATTGTGAACGATTCATACGAGAATGTGAATCGATTTAATACCCGGCGATCACAAAATACACAAGAGCAGTCAAATAGAAATGATGCAGACAGCAAAAGTTTAAAGTATCGTGATCCAACAACTACGATTCAAAATTTTGAACATTTTTTAAATCCACAGATCGTGAATAATCTACCTATAGTGAATCAAATTTTGTTAAATGCGAAAAATTTTGTAGAATCAATAATTAAAGCTCTACCGGAAGCGAAAAATGCGGAAAGCGGAAATAACTTTCTGAATCATATCATTTCACATTCTCAGAATGTCAACGCAAAAATAATCGCAAGTGATCCTGCGAATTTTAATTATATTCAACATCACCAAATTAGAAATGTTGAACAAGTAGGAAATGATTCTGATAATGTAATGCGTAATCATCAAAATTTTAATAACAATTCACGAAACAACGTTAATGAGCCAACTGATGCATCCAAAGGAAATAATAAAAATACCGAAAATAACAATTTATCAATAAATACGGATAATTCGAAAGCAGAGAATAGCGATAATCAATCTGCTTTTATCAATGAGAGACCTTCAGTAGAAAATAATCGCGACATAAATCATATTAACGACGTAATAAAGCCCGAAGTATTTGAGAAGGTGGATAAGGTGAAAACGAATCATACAAATGAACAATTAAATTCGATTTCGGAGAATTTATTTCAAATAAATGAAACAAATGAATCATCAATCACGGAATATCAAGGCAAGAATTCGAACCGCGCACAAGATTCTGAAAAAGTAAACAAATTTAATGTGGAAAAACCAAAGAAACCTCAAGATAATCTATCCACTAATGTCAGAATAAGTCGATCGATTGGAAATCGAAATATTCGTATTGACAATGATGTATTAAAATTGAATAATTATTCTCGTTTTGTCGATAATTTAAAAGATCCGAACTTGCTTAGGCAATTATTTAAAACGAAAGTGGATATCAATGATCGATTAATCGACGCTTCACTATTGACTAAAAAGGAAAAAATACGCAATAGCGAAAGTCACATGACTGATCATTATAATTACAACATGATTAATAGACAGCGGAACAAAAATTTGCCATCATCAAATACAATTTCTAATTCTAAATTAAATTAAAATTACAGAGTAAGTATCTAAAATATACATATATAAGAAATATATACATGTAATAAACTGTATTGAAAATTAGAATAATTATATGTGATATGTAACAGCAATTATATAAATATTCTATATGTAAAATTTGTAGTTTCGATGAATACATGTATCGAGAAAATACATATTTATTATAAAATTTTACTTTATAACTTTTGTGCGTGAAAATAATCAATTGACCGTGAATTATAAACGAAAACATATTGGTTTTCATGCTTTGATTAATTTTAAATGCTTGATTGAATTTTATATGTAATTGCAAACAGTAAAAAACTTTGCTATGTTTAACATCTCTTAATTAAAATTTTTAATTTTTTTTTCTTTTGACACGTAGATACATATAAAATAGACATTAAAACATTTATATATTGCAGCTTAAAAATCTAAAATTTTATTTTATATGTTAGTAAATTAATATACTTATTGATTACTATGATGTTAATAATTATATTTATTTGTAATAAAAATATTTTTTATAGAAAAATCACGCTTAGTTTGAGAACTAAATTTCATACTTTCAAAGGGATCAAAATTATAATCATGAGATTAACGATAGGATGTTTGATAATATAAGACCAATCGAAATAACGTCATACTGGTAATTCCTAATAAAAGTATGTAATAAAGAATATATAAGTGTAAAATGTATATAAAATATATTTAGAAAAATTAAGCAAAATAAATTTATTTCACAAATTCAAACAAGCACACACAAGTTTACGCATCAATAAGATTATAGTGAAAAAATGAAACACTAACAATTGGGGTAAAAATTGCGTTATTTTGAATGTACAAAATAAAATTAACTAAAATAAAAAATAAATGAAAATATTATGTACGAAGAATATATTTATCGATTGATGATGACTTTTGATGAGTCATTATATTAAAGATTTTATACATATTTTATTTGAGAAAAAAATAGTAATATGAAAAGATAAATTATTAAAAATTTGCTTCATTATTATAAATACCGATCAAAAAATACAACTATTAATATCTACAGATAATAGAAAAATTTCTACAATATATAACAATAATACTGTTATGAAATGTTACGTGTTGAAACGACAGCTATAAAGTAATGATGTGCAAGAATAAAATGGTGAGAAAATCATGAGAAAACAGCTGCTTTGCGTTCATAACGCGTTAATTAATGAAAGAACAATGCAGGTGTACACCAGAATATAAAGATAACAGGCGCAATCGAGGCGAATTAAATAACCTGGGTGTCAATTCGACATTTCGTCGCGGTATGAGCGACCGTGACAGTATAAAAATACGGAGAAAATAATAGTCGCGCGAATACGGGATACTTGATTCGCGCTCGCGCGATTCGCGAGTGAGATTCGCGGTCCGCGAACATCGCGCTGTGTCGATCTGGAACGCGTACACCTGCCGACTGAGATTACCTATATGCGAAACGCGCTCCGGGACTTATCGCGAGACGGTCACGGACTATCGTGAATTAAGCCGCCGCTACGGCGAGCGCGGCCTTTTAATTTCCGCATGCCTCGATATCGCGCGAGCTCCGCTGGGTTATCGCATATATAAAAAAAGTTGGTTTAATGCATATGCAGCATGTATCTCGGTTAAATGCATTCGCCGTTCTGGCACTGTGCCAACGATTACGTTATGACGTACTTGCTGATATTGTGCACCACCCTAGCGGTGACCATTGGCCAAGTAAGGATAAGAAAAGCGAGTAAAAAGCAGCTAGGTAGATAATGAGATTAATGAGATTGCTAGAGCACATTAAATACTTTTGCATTATACATATATGCGTTTATATGTGCCATAAAAAAAATTCCATAAAGTATGTATGTTCTTTTATACAAGTATAATAAATACTGTGTATTTAAAATAATGTAAAAATGTTATTAGAAATTGCAATTAATAGTTACATTTATATCAATTCTTCGTAATTATTGTGAATCTTAATTAACGATCTGTCATATATTTTCCTAAATTTTGAAGTGTGGATAGAGTCAGTGAATGTTTCGAGAATGAGGCAAAGTGTTTGCAAATTATTTAATTTATTTAATAATTAAATTATATAAAGTATTTTATATGCATCTTTTTAGGTATATTCGCAGGAGAGAACTTCGCGAGAAGAGGTAAGAAATTTAAAGTAATAAATAAAAATAGAATTAATTTTCTCCGTGGAATTATTGGAGAATATTATATTAAATTTTACAAATAAATTTACAAATAATCTTGAAAAAAGCATATTGCGTACAATATTCTTGTTATTCTAATCAAGCATGATTCATTTCAAGCAATATCAAGTTCTATACGTACCTCTCAAGTTCTGTGTGATACCTGAAAATCTTTTTAGTCGTGTATTTAAAAAACAAAAATTTATAAAAATTATAAAAATATAACAATGCAATAAAGGCATTCAAAAAATTTAAAGATTTATTTCAAAGTAAAATAATTTTATTAACATTATTGATAATCAATATTTCTACTAAATATAAAAATTATTAAAATTCTAATAAGATATTCGTAATGATATTCGTATACTGAATTAATTTCTAGGTAGGTACGTTCATTCAAAACAAGAACGTGAACATCATCGTGAATCTGGATCCACAGGAAGTTGCTAAGGAATTATGGAAGGTGATAGAAACACGTTTGACCAATCGTACTAGCAATATCTCCAGTTCAAAAATGCTATCAAAGAGCTTGAAAAAACTGTGCAACCCCTCATATCACCCACCAGGAGGGTGGGAACACCATCTGCTTTCCAAGTGGCAAGCCAATTTGATAAGATCGCACGAAGAGCGCTCACCAGAGATAAGCCGAGCATGAATGGGCTGGACGAGGAAATAATGACGAGAGACATCGTGGCGGACATGATGACTTCCCTGAAGATAATCATCTCGCAAACAGTCCAGTTGAAACTCGACGAGGCGGGTGTGTCTAACAGAAGATCAATACACAGTCCTGCGAAGATCGACGAAGATGACGAAGACAATTACGTGAATGTCAGAATTAAGATTCGTAGAAAAGATATTGTCGACGCGATTCATTAATTTCAACGTCACATCTTACTTTTCAAAAGGAAAAACTATTTGGCCGAAAAATATTTGTAAAAATCAATTATATCGAAATAATTAATCATTAATTGATTAGATCGAATTAATACAATTTGTTAATATCAAATTTTGGTAGAAAGATACATATGTCTGATATATTCGATTTTTCTGCTTTTTGTAAATAAACTTAGCATTAGTTTAACAAAAAAATTTTCAGTTTTTAAATCCAAGAGTTTCCCATAATGTTCTTACTTAAATATGTATTTAACAGTAGCGTTTAAATCATGTATTACTTTATAATCAAATCGCATAATAATTTCATTGGTCCTTTGTTAGGCTTTTTTATTTGATCAAATAAGATGTAACGCCAAATTTTGTCGGACAAGTTTAGAAATAATTTTAAAATCACATAGCATTGTTTTCTATAATCTTATGAGACTGTTTAATTGTTTCTTATAATTTCAAGAATAATATTTTATATATAACTAGAGATAAAAATATAAAGTTGTATTATACGTTAAAATGAAAAACATTAGAAATTAGAACTGATTAATTAAAAGAAAAAACAATCAAATTTTTAAACATTTTTTTATTTTACAGACATTTCTTGCGATATTTTTTTTGTTTATCTAAATATATATCATATCACATATCATTTTATGTATTATACAGGCAAATACAAATAATAAAGTGTAAATAATTTTTGAAAAAGAGAATTTCTTATTCAAAATATTTTATTTCTAAATTAAATTACTTTTATTATTATTTGAATAACATTTTAGTTTTGTCAATTAGACCAAGTAAATTTGATGGAAAAATTTAGAATATAATGATTTCATTTTTTCACAGTTAAGTTATTGTTAATTAAATTTATTAATATAGAACATATATCTTACATGTATATTTAATTTTTTACTTATTTTATTTTGAAAAAATAAGTCTTTGCACAGAAAATAGCATTTTTTAAATAGCTTTATTCGCATTCTAATAAGATATTAAACATTTAACAATGAATCTATTTTAAAATATTTGTTAATTAAGATGTAAATTCAAAGTCATAATTAAACGCACACTAGCATACAATCTACAAAACATTTTTCATTTAAAGTGTGTTTAAATAATATATTCAAACTTATAAGAATTGCAGCATGACATGATATTAAATCGCATTTAATTAATCTTTTTCACAATTTTATATTCAATTTTATATTTACTTTTGCTTAAAATAGAAAATTTTAATGATCATTTAAAAAATGAAGTCTTCACTTTTGCGTGATTTTTAATTAAAATATAAATAATTTTATTCTACATATATCTCATTCTATACGCAATGTACCTAACTTGATGGAAGATGAAAGACATTACGACTGTACTGTTTTGCATGCCAATTAATAGTATCGCAGAAAATAAATTGAATTTCATGTTCACTCAGGCGCACGATAATGTCCTGAGTGTTCGTTCGATAAAATCACATGATAAAATCGGCAATTTTCTAGTACATCGAATGCAAATTCATAAATGACTTTTAAATTAATAACCGTGAAAGGTCAGATAATATTCTACGTAACAAGTCATCGCTCTATATAACATGTGCCGTATGATCAACTCAGAAGTCGAAACAAACCTCGATCGATCATCATATATCTCACGATGATTTCGCATCGAATACTCGGCTGCTTAGTAAGTGAATTATTATTCTTTATAATATTTGCCGAAGAAATAAAATTGTTACATTCTGTTTATATATTTTAATATTATACTCTCAATTTTATTTTTACATTTAATTTTCGTACATTTCTTTTTTCTCTTTCATTCAATTATTCCGGAAGTGTTTACTATAACAAGATACGGTGTGCATACTTATGCAATTAATTTAGTTTTAATCTTCTTTAATTTTACAAGTTCCTGATCGTATTGTCGCCAATGGTGACGCACTAAAATCTCATCATGTGGAATCTATTCTAAATTCGTTACAACGCATCGAAAATCTGCTCGTAAAACAAGCCGAACAACACACATTGAATTGCATTATTTCGGACTCTCAAAATCTTCTAATAATGAAAGCAATGAGGTATGTATATATTATATATATATATAAGTATTAAAAGTAACATAAAAAATACTAAAAATAATAGGCAAATATAAATAATTAAACCTTACTTTCGGCAAAAATGAAATGTTTTTTTTATTTACATAAATAATTATATACATATATAATTTTACAAATATAATTTTTATTGTAAAACAAAAATATACTTTTTCCTCTTCCCTTTCTTTTTTTTTCTACAAATTTTTAATAGATAGAACATAAAGTTATATAAATATAAAGTTTAAATTTTATTCATACAGTTTATACAGATTTGTGTTAATCTAATTATTTAAGAATTAGATGGGCTTAATTAAAATTATTTGCACTATAGGCACATCCTGGACGAAAACATTGGGCTCCCTAAGCCCCGAAAATATTCTCATTCTTCGAAGATCACTGGACATCGATGACGAAGATAGTGAAGAAATCGCAACAAGATTCCACAAACTAAGAAATAAAAATAAGAACCGTAATGAGAACACTAATATAAACACAAATACCAACACAAATAAAATGTTTAGACGTGCTCTTGACGTTGGCATGTCGCATCAATTAAATAAAGATCACAATCGAAATGTAAATTATAATGTAAACACTAATCTAAACAAGAACAGTGATTTAGATTTAGACTTAAGCGAAGATGAAAATTAAATACAAAGAAGAAACTCAAGATGATTCACGATAAATATGTTCGAATATGAGTTGCATTTGATTGTAATTTCTGTAAAATTATCAATTACAATAATAAAATGATATAATGAAAATATTCAAACAATCTTTGTATTACAAACTAAAATGAAAAATTAAAGTTATCTTATACATTAATAACATTAATTATAATTTATATCAATATAATTTTGTGTTTTATTTTTAAATAAATAAATTGATTTATTTAATTTCTCTCTTTAGCACAATCTTGTTTTATACTCTATTAAATAAACCTAGTTAATTTATTTTTATCATATTTAGTTATATTTGTTTATTATTGTAAATCAATTAATTCTTAATCAATTCTTCGAATGTTTGGGGATCCATTTTACTTCAGTTATTAATACTATTATTTATTCTATTGCATAATTTAATAGCATTAATTAATAAAAATTACTATGAACAGGTCTTAAATTGTAATTATTTCCCAACAATTATGTTCCATTTTATAATTCAGAAAAATATAACTTTTTACGCGTAGCAAGCTAACGTCAAAATGACGTACGCGCACAAAACTCTTTGTGGTCATTTTGACATCTAGTTACGAAAATTACAAGCATAGCGATCGGAGGCGTTACAAAAGGGTGCGAAATATATGCTCCAGCGTAGGCGCAAAATTTTGATAATTTATTTTTTAATTATTTTGACAGTTTTGCAAAATAATGGAGCTTTTGTCACTAAAGCGCACGATCGAATTCTAGCGTAGGGATGCCTAAGACTGTCGTAACGTCTCCGTGTGTGTGTGTGATCCATCGATCAGTGAAATCAATTTCTTTGTAAGGTAATATTGAAGTTTAAAATAATGGAAAAAAATAACGATTAATTGTAACGACTCGTTACTTTTTAAATAACGGTAACGGTAATGAGTTACTTTTTAAAATCAGTAACGAGTAACGGTAACGAGTTACTTTTATAACTTTCCCAACCCTGGAATTTTCTACAAAAATTTTTTGATCAAAATACCTACACTCTTATTAGACTCGCGCGCCTCCGCACGTCCGTCGTGCTGTACAATTTGCGCGCGACTGATCATGTAATCATCAGTCTCGCAGTCGCAGTACCTCGAACGAGAATCAGTCGCGCGCGAGACGCGCACCGTGTCGGATGTGTGGGGTGTACTAATCTGATGAAAAGGATAGATAGAGTCTTGGGATCAGTGGTATATAATATTAATCGTGCTTCTTAGCCAATATATGTAATCATGGCACCTGCCGTTTATTAAAACAAATTCGATAGTAATCGTATAATTACAAACAATAATAATGACAGTATAATTATAAAATATGGTCGGTCTAGTATTTTTATAACGCGTTTGTAGAATCAGTCTTAACCCTCGGATTACCAAGTTTCGTACATCAGCTTTCCATCGTCATTTTCTCTTCTCTTTCTCATTTCTTTCTCGATCCCTCGATTTTCTAGTCAGAAAAATAAATATATTCGAAGGTACGATTTGTTTCTTTCCTTTTATTTGTATCTGAGAAAATTTTAACGACCGATAACCCGAGGGCTAATTAAACTATGAGATGTGCTACGGAGGTATGTTACAGTGTGATGCAGGGGTTTCGTTCGCGTAATCGAAAAATTGACACTCTTGCATCCCTTAGAAACAAAAGTATCGCAACTGATGACGTTCGAGCGTTTCTACTTTCGAGGATTATTTATTCTCACTTTCGTTGATCCACGCGCGTCTCAAGGTTCCCGCACACTTAGATTTTATATGTATATATGTATATGTACACGCACGCATCTGTAGATATAGATATATATATTTTTATATATATTTATCCATTCTTCTTCGTTTTAATATTCATTCATTTATTTTATAATGTAATAATTATCTGTTCTTTCTTTATTTGTGTGTTAGGCGCACTCCACGGAAACGAGCTGGCCCTTCCGCGAGTTTGAATTAAAAAATAAATGTTCCTTCGTTCGTTTCATCGGAGTGCTGAGATCTATTGAGGTTGTTGTACACGTACAATATCTCTTCGTTCTTTGCGACATAAAACTAGTGAAGTGTAGAATAATGCGCTGCCATAATTCTCTTAGCGTGTATTCTTTTTCTAAGCTTCATCTCTACAGAGAAACTTACTTATATAGAGAACGTACATAGCGTAGACTTTTCTATTCTGCTCGTCATTATTTATTGCATTCTTTTCTTTTTTGCAACGTTCGGCGCATCATATTGTTTATTTATTCAACCCTCTGATGAATCATTGAATTCATTATTGGGATTTTGATTATTTGTGGCGGACAATATAGTAAATATAGAGTGAAGAAAACGACTTCTC